ACTAGTGAGTTTCTATCTTTATGAATTCCATTTCATTTTTGACAACTTCCAATTTTCCTAGATTTATACTTTGTGCATTCCATGGTTTTTTAATGATTATTTGCAGCTGTTTTTCCTTATTTTGAGTTAAACTCATCAATAAATGAAGATCTCAAAAGCTTTATTCCATTCATGTCATTATGGTCAACTCCGTGTTGAGGAGATAGCTCTTCCCATAGTATGGTCTGAGTCTTTTCCAACCTTAAGAGCTCATTTCCCCCCACGATATCTGACAAAGTCCCACTTCTTTCCTAAGGTTTGCAGTGTCTAAACATTCAGAAGAACTCTGCCTCTTCTTCTTCCTAGTCTGTCTTCGTTTGGTTGAAAGCTGTCCACCGTGGATGATTCTGATGATATTTTAAAATACTGGTAGCATAGCTTCCAGCATCACACAAGCCAGCACAGTATGAGAAACTGACAGAAGAATGGTGGATCACTCAAGTTTAGATAGCCTAAATTAAAATACTTAACATTTTGTATTGATGCAATTTATACATCTGTCCTGGAAGATTTGGAACTGTATGAGAGCAGGTACCATGCACTAATCATCTTTACATCCCTGGTATCTAATAGACCACTTAGTACTTATAAAACTCCAACAAGTTATACTTAAATTTCCAGTGTTGGCGAGAAATACAGGAATGGTCTTCATCTCTAACATTACTGAGATGAGGCCCAGCTTCAGTCATTTCCGTGTTCATTTTAATGGAGCTCCTCCGTTCTTGTGCTTTGACCCATCTGAAGTCCATTTGCCCTCGAATCTGTATCTGGACCTTCCCCTGCTCTGCTCACAGTCAGGATGCCTTCTATATTTCCATCTTGTCCAGCTTGTTCAGCTTTTGGCTTGGTTTCATTAATAGACAACATGAGAATTTGGAGGGTCACATGAAGGAAGAACACAAGGTATATATTTCTCCTCTTTCTGCCTCAAGAAAGATCTCAGGTAATGATTGTGTTCTGCCGGGCAGACCTGTTTTAGTTTCAACATCAGTGGTGGTGACTAAGGCCTCAGGGCTCCCTTATCATTGCTTCCTTTTGCCTCACAGACTAAGGGTGGTGGTAGCTTCCTTCTCTTACTAATCTCTTGGTTGCCTCACTGTCCTGTTTGGATTGTCATTATCTTGCATCACCCATGCAATCAATTCCCAGCATTTAATTCTCTCTATGTGGCACTGTGGGTTAATGCACTAGACTGCAAAGCTGTTTGAACTGCAAGGTCGGCAATTCAAGCTCACCAGCTTCTCCTCAGAAACCCTGTAAAGGTCACTATGGGTCGGAATTGACTCAACAGCACTTAACAACAACAAATTTTTTTTTTAAATGGAGTCCTGTGTGGCGCTGTGGGCTAATGCATCAGACTGCAAAGTCGTTTGAACTGCAAGGTTGGTGGTTCAAGCTCACCAGCTGCTCCTTGGAAACTTTATACAGGGTCTCTATGGGTCAGAATCGACTCAATGGCACTTAACAACAACATTTTAAAAAAATATTCATAGTGGTTTCCATTATCCTGTTGGAATCTGATTGACACTGTGCTGTATTTTTTAAACAGCAATGTAATTTAATTAAGTAATATAACATGTTGTAAATGTTTGCATCTGGGGCCCTCAGAAAAGTTCCCTACACTTCCAACTCCCTCCAATAGCAGCCAACCATCAATTCTTAGGCTTAACTCTATATAGGTTGTTGGTTCCAGAAGTTCCTGTTAACAAATAAAATTCCTTTATGAAATATCTTATTCTAGGTCATATTCTCCATTAGTAATGTAGAATTGCTGAGTTATGGCTCAGCTGATATCAGAGACACAAACCCACACAGAGTTTCTGCAACTCTCACTCTATGAGCCCAGCTAAGATAAACTAACTGCTCTCTCCACCCAGAGGAACTTGTATTGAAAACAAACTCATTTGAAACGAGGAAGTGTAATATACCCACATTCTCTCAGACTGCAGGAGACATGACAACTAAATTAACTGGATTGTTGTTGTTGTTGTTAAGTACCATGGAGTCAGTCCAGACTCATAGTGACCACGCACAGGGTTTCTGAGGCTGCAAATCTTTATGTGAGCAGAAAGCTTCATACTTCTCCCGTGGAAGAGCTGGTAGTTTCGAACTGCTGACCATGAGATTAGCAGCCCGATTCTTAACCACTACGCTACTAGAGCTCCTTAAGTCAACTGGATTAGATGGTAATAATAAAACAATATTAATCTCATAGTAGTTTTAGTGGTATGATATTTAGGAGAATGTCTTAGTTTATAGGAAATACACACTAAAGTTTGTGGGATGATGGGGCATGACACTGGCAACTAATTCTCAAACATGTCAGAAAAAAATGTTCTTTATACTATTGTTGAAATTTTGCAGTGCCTTTTTTTTTCCTGAAGAGTATAGAAATGTAATCTCATTCTGTGTGGGGCTTGAAAAAGTTCATGAAAAAAAAAGGGAATTAAAAGATTAAAAGACAGTGAAATTTTCCCTTGAACATTTTTAAGCAAAGGTATGATACTGTTCAGAGTCTGTCTCCTTTTCTTTACATATTTGAATCCATTTTAAGTTAAAATACAAGAAACTTAACAAACACAAATCCAATATACATTGTGGGGAAAACAGATTGGCGCTAGTATTTACAATTATTTATTCTTTTTAAAGAAAGGTGATAAAACAATTTTCATACACACTTAAGATGTTTTGTCTCTAAAAGATATGTTAGTAGACATCCTTCAAGGAATCAATTCTGTGTACACTTTTTTAGTCTTCAAACGTGCAATCTGTAGCAAATAACGGATCCAATGGTGTAGTAAAAACCATAGATTACAAAATTGTAACTCAACTATATAATAATTAAAATCTTCATCATACACACTCACCTCCTTGCAAATATAGCAACTTACCTTCAAAGAAAACAAGGTTGTTTCTCACCCTAGGAAACCTCACAATAATAAGTCTTTCCAAACTAAAGAAAAGTCTGTTCATTCAACATTGGGATTTTTAAAACCAACAGGGCTCCTAGCTACACAAATTCAGTTTTATAAGTATTTTCCTTTAAAAAGAAACCATGTCCAAAAGGTGATAGCATATGGTCCACTTTTTATATTACTTAATTTGATCTCAAGCAGAGAGAAAATTACCAAAGATATCAAATAAAATTTTAAAAAATATTCAACTCATTAAGTATTTACTAAGTGTCAATCTTCAGCAAGGCTTCATGCTAGACGTTGTGAGGGTCAAACAAAAAATCACCAAAATACGAGCATGACTCTCCAGCAGTTTGCATTATGTCCCAGTGGTGATTTATGTGCCACGGAGTCGGTTCAGATTCATAGTGACCCCTACACAGGGTTTCCGAGGCTGTAAGTCTTTATGGGAGCAGAAAGCCTCATCTTTCTCCTGTAGAACAGCTGGTAATTTTGAACTGCTGACCTTGCGATTTGCAGCCGATTCGTAACCACTACGCTACCAGAGCTCCTTATGTCCCAGTAGACATCATTATTACATAATTTAATCATCCTCAGTTATTCTATCAAGCAAAATCTTGCTGAATAATTTCAATTATAAACATCTACATACCAAGGAAGAGAAGTGTCTGAAACAAATCATCAAAATCAAGGAAACTCCGACAAACTTCTCTCAGAAGATGATAGGGCATATGACATGTGTTCAAGTCTTAAATAAGGTTGACAGAGATCAAATTAATGCTTAGTAGTTATTCCATTTTTGCCAGAAGGGACAAAATGCTCCCTTCCTTTCATTCTTAACCAAAATAAAACAAACTATCTGAGATGTTGCTGTTGTTAAGTGCCTTGGAGTCAATTCCGATTCACAGCAACACTGTACAGAGTTTCCAAGGTGCAGCTGGTGGGTTTGAACCTGACCTGTGGTTAGCATTGCTTATCCTACAGTGCCACACCAGGCGTCCATATAAGAGATAGTAGATTAAGATGAATTATAAGAGCCACCTTACAAAAAATGCTTAAAAGGCAGTATGTACACTGAGAGAATGTTTAAAGGAGATGAGCTTTGACACAGTAAGGGGTTAAAAGGTTTATGGACTGACTGCATATTTATATGAAACTCAAATAAAGTTTTTCTTCCAGCTGGCTGAACCATGACGCCATGTGCATTTCTCCCAGTCAAAGGTAGGAAACCCACTCACCAGATCATGGGCAGCTCTCCCTGTGTGAGTACTGACTTCCAAGCTATGTTAATTCTATAAGTTCACAAAGAATGTATTTTTCAATTATTAGACAGTCCATCATTGGCATTATGGTGTGAATATGATATATGGAACAATTCATTAAACTGTAAGTAGCCACTTATATCCTGAGGAATACCACGTTATACATTGTTTATCTTTGACCTGAGGAGGAAATCATTAAGTAGTTGTATCTCACCATCAAGAAAAAGTGGTTTGGTGGGAGTTTACAAAGACTATGGCTAAAAGGGGAATCCTGGTGTGGCACTGTAGGATAAACACTGGACCCCAAGGTTAGTTTGAATAGCAAGGTTGGCAACTCAAACTTACCAGCTGCTCCTCAGACAGTCTATACAGGGTCTCTATGAGTCGGAACCAACTCTCCAGAACTTAACAGCATTGGCTAGAAGAGACATTAAATAATTCATTGACCATAGCAACATAATAATTATAACAAAAATTCACTCTAAAAGAAAATTTGAGTTATCTACTTTTTATGAACTAGAATAGTATTAAAACATTGTTTAGAAAAAGTTATCACAATCCCCAAATTCCAGAAATAAAATTAAGTTTATAGCAAATATTACTGACAGGCATGACTGATTCCATCTCTCTAACAAGGTAAATTTTTAAATAATGCTGAGGTTTCTGTCGTGCACCATACATCCACACAGGTAAAAATAGTGGTATTTCATAGGTTTTGAAACAAATCATATCATTTTTACTGTTTGAATACCCATAAGAGCACAGTTTGATCTGTTCTTCCTCATGGCACTAAAGCTGATAGCAACATGTTATCCCATGGTTCAGGACTCCAGAGAAAAACTGTTGGTTGGGGTGTTGTGTTGTGTTTTGTTTTCAGTTGTCTTTCCACAGTCTTGTTTGGAGAAGCCCATTGGTGATCACTTTCAATGGAAGGAGGCTCTCACTTTGCGGCCCTTCAGAGGCTGTGGCGGACGGTGATTGCTCAACAAAAAAGCTGCTGCCTCGCCCTCAGCCGTGCATAGTAGGCTACGAAATTTGGCCAGCTGTTAAGGAAACAAGAATTTATTTAAGCATCAAAAAGTCAGCAATGCTAGTGAAATGCCCTGCATGGAAAATAAAGAAACATCCATATAATCTTTACTCTACCAGGACCTACAAATATTACAATGAACTGTTTCTAAGTTATGGATCATAATAAAGCAACTCTTTTGCCAGTGGTCTCAAAGATTACGTACATAAGCATTCTTAAAGATAAACATTAAAAAAAGGAAACAGCGTTAGAACGTGGCATTGCAGGATAATGCACTGGACCTTGCGCAAGTTCAGTTTGAGCTACAAGGTCGGCAGTTCAAACCCACCAGCTGCTCCTCAGAAATCCTATACATGGTGGCTATGAGTCAGAACCTACTCTACGGCACTTAATAACAACAACAATCTACAAATCATGAAATGCCACGTAAAAGGTACAGTAATACAATGGCACTGCACTGGCTCTCAAAACTAGGTTCATCCTGCTTCTATCGTTAACTAACTGTATGACATTAGGCAAGTTATATATAGTCTATGGTCCTCAGTTTCATCACCTTTAAAGTGAAGAACTTATGAAATGCCTTCAATAACCATCTCCCAGCAATATTCACAAGCACTCCAACATATCAAGGCCCCAATATGTCACATGCACTAACATACTATGGCCTTGATTTTTGTGGAAGACATGTGGTGATCCTCCTATAGGATCTTGGTCCTTTAAATATAGGTTCCTTTTAACTGAAAAACCTTCACTTTACTACATTTATGCCTTTTAAATAATTAATTAAGGAAAATATTTAGGATTTCAATTGTTGACAATTTAAAATTACAATTTAAGTGCTATTGGCTATATTTCTCTCCTAAGAGTTTATTTTTATTACAAAAGAAAAAGGCGTATTTAACTTAGAAACATCATATAATATATAGAGTATTAAGAAGGAAATAGAAATTACGAGTAAACCACTCAGAGCTACTGCTAACTTTGTTGTTGCTGTTGTTAGGTACCGTTGAGTCAATTCAGACACATAGCAACATTATAAATGTTTTCCGAGGAGCAGCTGGTGAGTTTGAACTGCCGACCACATGGCTCGCAGTCTAGTGCTGATCCTACAGCACCAGAGTGCTAACATTATGGCGCATATTTTACAGATGTTTTTCTATATATAAACACAAACACATTTGCTTTTTTTAAAACAAAAATGGATTCTACTATACATGCTGTTTTGAAACCTGAGTTTTTCACTTAATATACATCCTAAACATCTAAGCATTCACTAAGTATAAAGCTACATCATTATTTTTAAGTATTGTAAAGCTTTATATTAATATTATAAATGTTTTATAAGTAATTTGGCATAGTCTTTGGGAATTTAATGTTATTTATTAAGAGTTAGCTCAGATTTGCAATAGTAAAATGAAGATTGAGTAAATTAACCAAATAATTTTTCCTTCTCAAAAATATTCACCAAAAATACATGGTCAATTAATATGACTAAGGTTTTAGTGTTTGTTTTGTTGTTTTGTTTTGTGGTGGTGAAGGCAAATTATTCAGTTATTGAGAATGAGCACCTCAGCTTGCCAAGCTTCATTGTTGTTATTGATAAGCCTTGTCAAGTTTGTTCCGACCCATAGCGACCTTCTATAGGATGCCCAAGGAGCAGCTAATGGATTTGAACCACCAACGTTGCTGTTAGCAATCCAGTACTTATCCTACAGTACCAAATATTGTTGTTGTTCTTAAGTGTTGTTGAGTCAATTCTGACTCATAGCAACCCTCTATAGCATTTCCAAGGAGTGACTGGTAGGTTCGAACCACCGATCTTGTGATTATCAGTCCAGTGCTCATCCTATAGCGCACACCAGAACTCCACACCAGCACATGGTAGTCACCTAATCTCAGAGTCATACTCCTGGTGAGGAGAAGCACTGGACTGTGAACAAAAAGGTCAGTGGTTTGGTGGTTTAAATCCACCAGCTGCTCCTGTGAAACCCCATACAGGATTGCTATAGTCAGAACTGAGTTGATGGCACTTACCAACAATAAACAACAATCACAGAGTAAAGCAGATTCAAGCTTCATCAGTTAGGTTTCCACCATCATGACTGACCTGTAGCCTGAGCTATCTCTTAGACAGAACTAATCAAGATGGGAGGCAAGACAAAGAGGTCTTTTATAATTAAAAGACAACATTTGACAGACTTGCTGTATGATGATGGGATCACCCAACATTATTAGTAGCTATCTAAGCATGAGTGTCTTTTGAGGGTACAGACATGGGAAGGATCAGACAAATTTGCTATTACTCATAAGTTTGTGAATTTTAAAAAAATTAAACCAAATCATTATATCTATGGAGTCCTGATGTGGCACTATAAGATAAGTACTACACTTCTAAACAAAAGGTTGGTGGTTCAAACCCATCAGCTGTTCCTCAGAAATCTTTACAGGGTCACTATGAGTCAGAACAAACTCGATGTCACTTAACAAGAACAACAGCAAAGTATAATTAAAACAAAGTGAGATTGAAGAGATGCCTTGATAAAGTCAAGTAATAGCGCCAATAAAATCTAATTTCAAAATTAAAAAACAAAACAAAACTTTAAGCCATGAAAAATAAGGAAAGACCAAGACATTGTCTCAAAACAGCATACAGCTAGGAAAACATGACAACTAAATGTAATGTGGGTTAAAGCACTGGACTGCAAGGTAGGTTTGAACCACAGGTCAGCAGTTCAAACTCACCAGCTGCTCCTGGGAAGTCCTATAAAGGGTCACTATAAGTCGGAATCGACTCCACAGCACTCAACAACAATATCCTGGATTGGATCTTGGAACCAAAAAGGGATATCAATGAAAAAACTGATGAAATCTGACTAAAGTCTGGAGTTCAGTTAAAAGCAATATACCAATATTGGCATCTTGGTTTGACAAATGTACCTTGCTAATGTAAAATGTAAGATGCTGACCTTAAACAGAAGGTGAAATTGGATAAGGGGTACACAGGGAACACTTTGTACAACTTTTCTGTAAATCTAATATTTTTCCCGATGACAGGTCATTAAAAACAATGTTTTCATAAAAGAAACAAAACTCTAATCTCTGGGTGAGAGAAGAGTCAGAGCTGGAAGGTCTGAAGTTTAGGAAGAAGTGTGAACCCCTGAGCCCATGGCCACTTACCTAGCCCATGAGGGCTAGGGCTGAGAGTGAAACAGCCAGCTGGTCTGAAGTGCAGAAGTTTTGCGTGAAATCCCAAATTTACAGTTAGTACTCATTTGACATAGCTTGGATGGTTAGTTGACCAGAACTCAAACAGAAGAAGCTAAAGATGTTTGATACTAAGAACAAGTTCAAATTGCTATAATTTGACAAACTAGACTTTTGCCTATGAGTGCAGTGACTCAAAATTCCAACCGGAATGGAAGGATTCTTCATCTCAAGGGACAATCTTGTTTCCTCAGTATAGTGGGTTGATAGCGACGAGAAATTTAGACTTTTGCTATCAAAACTGAGGGAGGTGGGCTACAAAGGCATCAAGTGGCTGGCTTGCAATCTTTCATGAGAAAAAGAATTTTATCTCTAAAACCGTAGAAATACGGGTATGTCTGGAGCGGCCACCAGAGATGGCTGTGCAGAAAAGTCTTGTCCTGAATCAAGGCGATGGCCTACAGGCCTCCCTCAGTAGGACCTGCCTCTCCATTGACACTGCTGCTTCCTCCAATCAGCTTTATTTTCTCCAGAAGTTGATCATGGCTTCCCACCTCTCCAACACCTTAGCCTCATCTAGCTAAGAATTCAGTCTTATTCTAAGTCTTTTCTCTGAAATTTGTGCTTATTTTGGTAGGAGTTCCTAAGTCCTGAAGTCTCACCAAACCTCTTCCCTTGTTGGCTTTGGATATCCCAATCACATAGTGGAGCCTCCACCTAAATCCACACCCCTAACCCAGCCCTCGGGAACTCCATAGAGGGTTGCTATGAGTCAGAACTGACTCTAAGGCACACAATCACCACCAACAACAACCTGGCTCTGGGCTTTGCCCAAGCAGTTAATCTGCCCCTCTGTTACTAAGTCTGATTCAGAATCTCCATAATCCCTGGCAAGAGTCTCCTCAGTTTTGTCTTGAGTTTGAGGTAGACATAACTTGTTTTATTGGGTTTTGTTTGGCTCAAATACTAAAATTTTAATTTCTTTGTACAGTAACCCCAGTAAGCTGATTTTTTAAAATTCTTTTCTAATGTCAGCTTTATGTCACTCACCTATTCAAAATTCTTTAATAGCAATCCATTGTCTGCCAAGGTTGAGTAATAATACAAATAAGTTCACTCTTCCTGAACACTACGTATAGATGAGGTGTGGTGCTAAGTGTTTTTTATTATATCATTTAATCCCTAAAAGATCACTATCAATAGACCACCATTATCCTCATTTTGAAGGAGCTCTGGTAGCACAGTGGTTATGAATCAGGCTGCTAATGTCACAGTCAGCGGTTCGAAACTACCAGCTGTTCCATGGGAGAAAGATGAAGCTTTCTGCTCCCGTAAAGATGTACAGCCTCGGAAACCCTGTACAGGGTCGCTATGAGTCAGAACCGACTCCACAGCACATAACAACAGCATTCTCATTTTAAGGTCACTGGTCTGTTAAAAAACAGTTTGCAATTAACTAATAACTGAAAGGTTGTCAGTTCAAACACACCCAATGGCACTACAGAACAAAGAAAATCTGCTTCCATAAAGATTATAATCAAGAAAAATCTAAGGAACATAATAAAGCAAAATGCATTGTTTGTTGAATATAAAACTGATGATGTGCTCTGCAAACCTACACTCAATTTACAATAAAACTTTTTTATCAAA